GGTATATATTATGAATTCTGGTATAACTATATATTATGAATTCTGGCATAACTATATATTATGAATTCTGGTACTTTTGCCAAATTTAGCAAAGGTTTTTTCTTTCTTTCAATGTAACAAATTGAATCGAATTCTTAAGGTAACAGTTAATACAGCACGAGTGTATTTTTTTGGCGGCTAAACTTGCGCACACCATCGCCATGCGCGGAGACCATGCAAGAGAAAAGGTACCACTGAAACACGCTACTTCAAAGTACGATGGTTATACAATATCAATGTCATGTTTATTTACAAAACAAGTTCTTTCTCTACAAACTCAAGAAATAATTAACGTAATTTACAAGTTGCCTTAGGTCCTGTACATTAATTTCCCATTTTAGCTATAGGATTTGATTTGATTTGTTCCCTTTAAAACTTGTACAAATGTCGATATTAAGAATGTAAAATATCTCTTCCTCTGTCCCCGTCATACAGCCGGCAATGAACAATCTCTGTCATACACACAGCTAGCATTACTCATCATCCTCACAGGGTTGTGCAATCTGTCCTGGTTTAACAGGAATCTCCTGTTTATATTATTAAACAAATGAAAAGTTACTCAATAGGTCAATAAAAAAATATTAAATTAATAACTACAGCGATGAGACGAAAACAACACGTGAATGTATTAACTAGCAATTCCATACAAAAACAGAGAAACAAGCGCAAGCACAAGGATCAAAACAAGCTTTGTTCTGATCAGCAGTGACTGAGGCCCCATCCACACGACGCCGGAGAAATTTGAAAACGCAGCTTTGTTTCTGCGGTAAGGCCAGTACCGTCCACACTAATCCGTCACGAAAACGGAGCTTTTCGAAAACGTCCTTAAAACCGGAGAAATTTGAAAACGCCGGCACTGCGTTTTAGTGTGGAGGGAAAACATTTTGAAAACGGAGCTTTTCGAAAACGCTATTCAAACCGGAGGAATTTGAAAACGCCGGCTTTTCGTTTTAGTGAGACTTTTCAAGCAATTTGAGCGCGCTAAGAAAGCGGCGAAGCCTCGATAAAGCTAAGTTAACAATTGGCGAAGCCGCGAGCCTGGGAGGGAGAAAACTGAGAAACCGCCTGCACGGAGTACAGGCATTTTTTGTTAGTCGAGTACGCTGGCGTACGGGCCATTGCCAGTGGCAATGGCATTCCATTGCGGGCCATTGCCATTGGTACTGGCAATGGTATTCTTCGCGAATATCGCGAAATTGTTAACTGCCAAACACGAGCAAGAAACAGCCGTAAACAATCTGCCTCATGGGGGAGATGTGATGGCCGTTTTCCCAACAGGTTTTGGCAAAACCGTGTTTCACTGTTCGCGCACGCCAGATAGGAATTGTTGTCACGAGAACCAGTATCGTTGTTAAAAAGCATCATCGACGTTTTGCATGGAAATGTGTAAATTCTCCGAATTCATCTTGAGCGGACAACAACAAAGTCTACAATTATCGTTTACACTTTCTCTCGATTCCTCCCTACACAGGATTTTCGGCGTCTTGCCCTTCGCCCCCATCGAGCAAACACCGCATCGGATAGTTTTGTTTTGATAGACTCTACACTATCACGGTGACTTTTCCCTACCAAGTTGGCTGGAAGTTTCTTATTACGATTGCTCCGATTGCTTATTGGTTATTGCTCCGATTAGCTGTGTTATTACGATCTACAACACCTGTTATCGGGTTGTCAAAACATGTAATAGGGAGCGACAATAAAAAATGCGGGTAATCCAGGCAGGCGGTTCCTCGCGGCTTCGCCGCTTTGTGCGCTCTCGCTCAAAATTGCTTACAAAATTGCTTAAACCGCCAAGCTACGCAGGCTAGTGCGCACGGAAAACTTTTTAATGTGATTTCCCTGTCCGAGTTTTTCTCGAACACAAATCCAAAATGGCCGGTGATTGTTGCGTGTTTAAATTTCTCCGGCCTAGTGTGGACGGGACCTGACGCATACTTCGTTACTTTATCTGCTGTACATTGCCAAAGAACTGCTTCTTCCATAAATGTATATAGGCTGCAAACTTAAAGTAAGGGATGGACCCACCACTACTCTAAGATGGCTGCCAGGAGAGCTTGCTTCAGGCTATAAATGTATCTATTATGTAGCTATTTCTAATTATTCTCTCTCGCGTTATGTATGTAGACCGTGCAAATCAAAATAAAAGAGATTTCTACTCAGACAAAGAAACAATTAAGTAAGTTTCTTACAAACTTATAAATACTATTTGGTCGTTACTTACAAAATCTTTAGAAGAACAGTCGTTTAATTATTGATTAGTACTTTCATGTAACAAACACAGGGTCCAGAAGGCAATACTTACTGGGTTGGTCTAGCAGTTAATGCTTCTGCAATGGACAGAATAGAGTTGAGAACCTCCTGTTATACCAGTTTGCCTTTAGTTAGCAAAGTAAGCGTACTGGTCGCCAGTGACCTAAAAACAGTACATGAAAAATACATAATTATTTGAATTTCAAGGCACAGAGCTTGCAACTGTTATTCGTTTCATTACATTTCACCGCGAAAACGATTGATGTGATTCAATAGAAGGAGCCTGTCTGTCATTCAGCAGGTATAAACAATTGAGCAGGGAAATTTTGGATATTATCAAAGATAAATTTCTTCCGAACTACAAGTAACATGTAAATTTTAGTTATTAATTACTGTTGTGATGCGCTTTTGAATATTTTATAGAAAAGGCGCAATACAAATAATAAATGTTATTGTTGTTATTGTTATTGTTAACTGACAAACATACTGAGTTCTGATTGTTTCTCTTAGCGGTCCGAATTTTGCTATACGGACCGCTAAGATGGACCGCCCACTAATTAATTTCGGCGAATTGCTTTTTCAATTGACTACACAAATAAACAATGTTTTGTTCAATAGAGAACAATTTCAGTTCAGTGTTCACAAAAGCGACGTCAGAAACGTAAATAAATGCTCATCCTTCGCGCGCGCGTTTACCGAGAATGGATCGCGGAGATGCATCAATAGAACAAAGAGAGCCATTATTAAAAATACTTTATTGGACTAGCTTGTCCGGAGAAATATTGGTCTCGTTCTTTCTGGCAGGTTTATGTAAATCGCCTGCGGCTCGGTCCAGCATTCCGTATGGACCGCGTTAAATGAACATACGCGAAATACAACCACGCACCAATTTTGAAATAAGCTATTAATAATTATCTTTGAAAACGTGCAAACCTTTATACTACATCCCAATAATCACTGCTAAGAAACTCACCCTACATGTATATAATATGTCATTTTTACTTACCCAAGAGCATAATTCGGAACGTCATTAGAAAACAGGAGAAACAATTCATGTGTTGCTGTACGGATTGCATAACACTTGTGATCACTTCCACACATGTAAGTTTCCATAGCTTGATGAGGGAGACTGCTGGGTAAGTCACAAGATGGCTCATCTGCATGTACATAAAAACAGAATCATGTTCAGATAGCCGTTATAAATACATGGAAATTGGTGCACTAGTTACTGGGCCACTTTTCACAAATTACAAAATAAACATGATGTAATAACCTCAGAGCCACTAGTCCCCGGTTAGCACAGCAGCAAAGCAAACTGGGCTAATAACCTCTCAAACCAACACAACAAAGATTGTCAACTGTTTGAACCTTGCACTCCTGACCTGAGAAACAATCTCTTCTTCAATAACACTGTACCCTGACACAGCAAAAATCCGTGTGACTGTGGGGTATTGTAGTTCTCCTGGAATCTCGTATGTTGGCACACTAGAATTCAAGTATCCCACTTGGGCAAATTAAACCTTGACTGAATTCTACAAATGCAAGTCATATGTGTAGTTCAACTGTTTATGTACTGTACCTTGTGATGATGTGGTCGACTCCTGGGATGGAAATAAGGTACCAACTATTGACTTGTAAAACGACACCAATATTGACTTTCTCTTGGCTGTGGGCATTCCACTTCCTGTTGCAACAAACAAAATTCAAAGTTAAACCTCAAACACTGTATGTGATATACAACACAAGTTTTGTTATTATGATATTATTCACATGCAAAGTTACAAACACATGGATTCTCGTCAGTCTTGATTACTAAGTCACGTTCATCTTATAAAGCTGCTACTGTTTTTACAGTTTTATCAGTTTTTACACTAAAATTGCTCTCTGCAACTTTTGAAGCAGAGAATAAATCTAATCCTTACCAGTTTTTGAATTGATTCAACTATAAAAAACAAGGCAACAATAATTCAATCTTCAAAATAAGGGTTGTTATTTTCCAGAGTTACCTGGGGCATTACTTTGATCTACACCAGTCAACACCCCTGATGGATGTACACTTGACAGACACTTGCGCTCATCTATATTCACCAACACAAACCTACAACAAATTTAGAACCATGCTGATACATGTACATACAAATATCAAGCATACAAAACTAAAAATACTAAAAGTGCATGTACCTTGATATCATTACCTTGATATCTCTCAGATCCCTCAGTTACAATGCACCCTATTTATTGTACTGTTAACTGTAAAGTCTGCTAAAATATGACGCTACTTTTGTTGCCAAAAATTTTATGTCCCATGGCTTAGGGCCAGGTTTTAACAATGTAAAATATATATAAACATGTAAAACTCATACTTTTCTTTAAATTTTAACATTTTACTTTTGAGATTCATAAGTCATGCATGATCATATATGGAGCCACTCTGTATTACATGAAATGATTTCCCAAGTCTGTCAGACACACAGTAGAAATATTGGTAACTTTAAATTTGCTTTCTCTGTCTGTACGGTACGGTAAAAAACTTGTTTGTAGCCTGTGCACTTTGCACTTGGGTTATATATGTTGATTGACAGTTTTTTCAAAAATAATTTTGTTCCACACACAAGAAAAGTTGAGCTAATGGGCAGAAAGGGACAAAAAACACTGAAATGCATGAAGCCTACAAAGCTACCTGCACACAAAGGTGAGAGGCAAAGTGAACTTTATATACTGACTAGAATTAGAATCAAACTTACTGCGATGTTATTTAGGTCAATGTAGACTGCCACAAAATTTAGACTTAAATAACAAAGAAGAGTAACAACAGGAGGAATTTTTATTATTAAGAACGGATCTAAGTATGTAGCCCTGTACAGCTGCCATACCCTAAAATTCCACTGTCGAGAACCATATCACTAGGGAGGTTCCTTGGATGAGATCTACGGCTGGACTTCAGTGTATCTATAGCAAGCCTCCAGTACTGATCCAGGAACTAAAAACAAGAAAACAATCCCCAAGTTAAAATGGAAGGTGTATACTTCCTTGCAGCCCACGGATAAGATCATCTGAGCAGAAATAAGTATGTCACTGTATGATATCATTCACATACATGACTGTACAATTCATGTGCCAGTTTTATAACAGACTACAGAGATTTACTTTATCAGTTACAGTACAAGAATAAGGTATAATTATAACAAACTTACTTTTAACTGAATGCATTAATTTAGAGAATTTCTGAATTTCTAGACAGAAACTAGCAAACAAACTGTTTTACAACTGAAGAATGCTAGAAGTCATTTTATTATAATGACTAGCTCTGTGGGAGACCAAGATGAACAAAATCCAGCACTGTGATTGGCTACCTGAGTGGGAAAGATGGCGCTATCTTGCCCACTGTGTCCTGCAAGAAAATAGTGCTCTTTTTCTATATAACAAATCCTTTGCTGACCAAGCTGGCTGGATATTGGCCTCAATCTTTTTTTTGCCTGTTTATGGAACTCAACTCCATCTCGGTCCATAAACACACACAAAAAAAGAACTTGGTCAAGATCCAGCTATCTTGACCTCACCCTTATATTCATACTTCACCTTAGTTTGTGTGTCTTGAAGTGATGGTTTTGGCCCACATATCACACACACCTCCACACCTTCAATGAGCTGCAAACAAGTAGCAGTAACATGTCAAAAAGAATAGTGCCTTACATATTTTTACTTGCTATGTAGTTTAGACTTGGGCAAAGTTTTAGCTCATGGCAATTTAAAGTTACATAGCAAACTAAACTTAGATAGCAACTAAACTCCTTGAGTTTCTTGGCCATGTTGATGTGCTAAAACTGCCTGGTGAAAAACCTTGCAGGATCTGAATCTTCAAAAAAATGTTGAGAGACCTGTCAAAGACATGTACCCTAATACAGTACAGGATGAGGACATATCACTCATTTAGATCTTTACCAGGATCATTACGACTTAGATCTTTCACAAGGATTTTAAAGGTCAGCCATTACGATCGTTAATCATGTGCATGGCCAATACATATGCGATCCTCTAAAGTGCCTTATGAAGATCTTTGAAGATTCTTCAAAAGATTTTGATCAGGGTGCACCAACATGGCAGAAGCAGTAAAACAATTTGTCCACTGTGACTTTCATAGGCAACTCCTTGTCCAAGTTGTTTTAATTAATCTACCGTTCCCACACAACTAAGAATATAATATTACTTTAATTAAAATTAGATAAAAAGAGGGAAAAAATGATTGTCACTACAGCCACACATGTGATCAATAAACTAAGACAATCTACACACTTACCTGAAATGTAAGAAGTCTGTGGGGAACCTGAAACAATATGAAAAGAACTATTGAGCTAGATTGAAAGCATAAATGTACTGTAAGCATACACCTACGTATGTGTACACATTATTAAGTAAATTATCATAGAAAATTAAACTCAGTCAACAAAATTAGTGCAAATAATACTGAGCAAGACAAAATGTGTTTAAGGTCCAATGAATGACACTGCAGGATCATAAGTGAAAACATACCTTTGGACTACCGTAAGGAAGATAAACAGGGATATCACGAGATGTACAGGCTGGTAATGAACGAACAAGAAATGATAACAGAACTGTTTCCATGCCTGTTAACTCCCACCTGCGAGACAACAACAGCAACACAATCAGAACAGAAAGCAGACCTATACAGTGTAGGTACTTACTTAACGCATGTTAATCAGGCATGTTAGTACAATGTGTAGCTTGTACAAATTGGCCAATTATGGCTGTACACAAATAATAGCTGATACATTAAACAGTATGTAATAATATGAATAAGTTGTTAATAGTATTGAATTAATACTTACCACCGTTCTGTGGCTACAGCCACTTTGCCCATGACAAGCAAGCAACCAAACTCACTGTTCACTGCTGTGGCAAAGGCATCTAGGAACTCCTATAAAGTGATAAAACAGTATAATTTATTACCATTACATGACATGTACATGTACATGTACCTCTCTAAAACCTCTCAACCTGCTGCCTTGCATCATTTAGAGACAGCCTTTGACTTTTATAAGGACAGCAGGGTTAAAAAAAGTTATGACACCTGGTGACACAATGAGTCTGTCATCAAAAATGTATGTCAAAAATTTATGGCTCAAGCAAGCACACAAATAGCTCAGGGGGGTTTAAGATCACATTGGCAACTTTTCTGACCAATAGGAACGCACAATACTCACACCTATAACACCACAGGAATTCCCTTGCCTAGATAAACCTCCCCACCAGCCCTCCCCTCAGCCTTCTTTCAACCCTCCCCCATCCCCTCCCCATTCCTCTCCACACCTTTGGCAGGGTTGTCAGCTGAGTGGAGCACAGAGTGAATTGCAGGAAAAAAAAAAAGAAACACCACTAGACAGGTCAATAGTTCCTTCAGTTCAAGCCTATTCATGCATGTAATTTAATTTCAAACACTTGTATTCATGTACCTGCAAAAATGACACATCAGGACAAAGAATGACATCAACAGCTTGAGTTATGTTTCCTGTTAAATCTGTGCCTTCTAAAAGGCTGTCAATCAGACTATAACAACACTGACAGAATAAATCAAAGAAACAACAATTACACAGAGAGGGATTGGTAACATTCTACATGTACGGTAGTTCATGTAAGGACATTGTCCTTACTAGGTAAAGGTAAAGTCTGCATAAGAGCCAAGTGGCCCATCAGGCTGGTGCTTATCTCTGGTTTCTGCAGTATGACACAAATACATGTAGGAGTACTTCTACTCCCCCTGGATGGGATAATAGTCCATCACAGGGTCCAGTAATAGTCCAGCAATAAATTCAGCAGTACCCATTTATACACGTAGGTGGAGAGTAGCACTGTAAGAGTAAAGCATCTTGCCTAAGAACACAATGCAATGTCCCCAGCCGGACCACTCAATCTGGAGGCAACTGCACTAACCATGAGGTTACCTGCCAAGCCTCCACACTGTCCTTACTACAGTGTACATGTATACCAACAACAAGAAATAGCAATCATCATGAACTTACTCTTAGCTCCCTTTTTAGAAGTTCTACATTTCTGATGGATGTCAGCTCATCTATTCCTAATAGCAAAACCTAAAATAATGAGGGACAACAGTTTATCTACATGCGTACTGTCATTATTATTTCACTTGAACCAGACTCTAGCACTGCTACTCTTGTACAGGAATTCAAGTATCAATGCACCTATTAATAGCGAGTGAAGATAAATCACATTTTTCTTAACTTGTAACAAAGCTATCCAGTCAGATAATTTGGATTTTATACTTACATGTAGTCTGTCAGCTTGGTATTGATGAGTAAATGTGTTACAAGTGTCAATTCATGCCACATACATATTAAAAAAAAGATGACCTTGGAGTAATAACAGTTCATGCTGCATGAAGACAATACATGCTGCAGACAATACTGTAATGTATATATTATGTACACTTATTAGAATAAAGGGCATTTACTGGAACAGTGTCACTTATTGGAATATTTTGGTACCCACCATAGTATTAAAGGCAAATTCTAACAATCTGTTGAGATGCATATCACTAGCGCTGTCATCAGAAGTGGCAATTATTAAGGTGATCCTGTAAACATTAGTCAAGAGGAATAAGTACGTAATTCACCACTGACCAGTTTGATGTTTAGAGGAAGGCCAATTTCTGACAGACATGCAGTACTGTTTATAGAGGCATGCACACTGCTTGTACATTGTAATTCAACAATGTCACATATCACATACATGTACACAGGACATGTATCATTCCATGAATCCTGCCATATCCTGTATATAAATTGGACTGCTCAGTATATACATGTACACATGTAAGCAATCACATTTGTTTGACACCACTATATAAAAAAAGCTGGCATAACAAATTTCTGATATTATTTCACCTTTACACAAAATAAGGACCACACTGTACAAGACATGTCAACCTAAAAAAAATATCAGCATCTGGGAGATAGCCAATTTACCTTCTTGACCCTAAAAAAACGTTGTTAAAAGTAAAATTCCATCAATCCTGACAACACACATGTGCCGCCAAATGGTTATAAATTGGTCCCCGTAAAATGCCCAAATAAGTGTGAAAAGTGTAAGTTCAAAGGGTGTCTTGAAAACGAAGACCTCAAAAACTCAGGACTCAAACCTGAAAAACTTGGACCTTCCAGGTGTTTCAAAAACTCAGACCCTAAAATATTGTATTGACAAACAGTTTTTGAGACACCCATACTTCACAGGCTTTCCTTCGTATCCAGGAGATCTGGTGACCTTTACGGGAAACCAAGAGATTCGGTCTGTAACCTGCAGGAACCTCCAAGAACTGATCATCCAGAAGAGTTGGCATGGATGTTGAATTTTTGATAAAAGAGTTCTGTTTTGTACATGCTTATGATGTAGTGTGTCATTTGCTAATTAAACTTGGACCAGGGATTTTCCACATTTTCCACGTTACATAAAACCAAATGGCTATAATGGCGGGTCTAAAACACAGGTCACAGGTCACAGGTTATTATTGTTTTCTACCAATACTGAAAGAACCTTTTACTAATACTAACCTTAAGCCTAAACATTGTCTTAGTGAAGTATTTAGGCCTAAGGTTAGCATTAGGAAGGGGTTAAAGTTGTTCCAGTATTGGTAAAACAATGACCCGTGACCTGTGTTTTAGACCTGCCGTTGCTATAACAACCTGTCTGTACACAATCAGATCAAACACTTCAATATTAAAATAAAAGTAGATATTGTACCTTTCATGAAAAACTTTCCAAATAACTTTGGCATCATCTGTGACTGTGTTAAGCAGAGAGACATCTTGATTGCTGGCAAACATACAAACTCCATTCAGTGATCCAATCACAGGGAAAGGTAACTACCCAAAAATAGCAAAATACAGTGGAACATTAAATGACATCTTATTACATGTGCAGGTACACAGTACATGTACTGCACAATCTTTATAAAATGTTGTTCTGCATCGTTTTGCAGGTTATATCAATTTCACGACCTAAACTATTATTTAACCATAGTTCTTGACCAATAAGCGTAGGAAACTTCTAGTACCATTTAAGTTACTTTAAAAAAAACGCTATGCTTGATAGTCTGACTTACACAAGTGGAAAGTATTATACAGTATGAGCTTAAACTCCCTTGTGAATTATTAAGTTTATGTCTAGCGGGAAATATGTTGAAATGATCAAAACTTCATAATACCGTTTCAAAGAGCATTTCTGCACAAACCCTGAGTGAGCCACACGTGAAAGCTCAGACTTGTGAAGAAAACATCTTCCAGCTAATTGTTTTCAATATTTATTCACATTAACGCTCTATAAATAAACTTTGATTGGTTTGAGAGCAGTTTACCTGTGGTAAGTTTCCTTTCGTCCGCGTAAACAATGGAATTCCACCTTCAGTTGTTAAACAAACCAAGTAAGCCGCCATATTGAATTCCCGCCACGCGCATGCGTCCAAGTTCCTAAAGAATGCTGACAGCTGAAACAAATATGGTAGAAAGAAGTTGATGTAAGGAAGGAAGAATGAGATGATTTTGGGCTTTGTGTACAAATTATTGTACGGGGGATGTGTGACTGTTACTACTGGCTGCATTCTTAACTGTCTACTGGAGCATGTGGTCGAGTTCACTGTGGTACGTACATTTGAAAATATAGAACATTCCAAAGCTAATCGAAGTTAAACATCAGTGTAAACATGTGTTTTTATCAATCCGAATGTAGCCAGGAATAACCTGTGACCAGGCCATGCTCTTCTGCACTCGTACACAGGTTTTGCTTCGCGACCGAGCAAAATGAAAAATTAATATCAAGACTGATTGCAGATCGAAGCATGTATGTGTTAATTATAAGGTTACATTTTTTTAGTGATTATCGATAATCCTAAGCTTTTAGTGTACATGCTACAGTTTCAAAAGTCGATCTTGGTGTGAAATCTTGCCTTACGTGTCATATTGTTTACAGATGCACGATAAACTGGTAAAAGACAAAGTCTTGTAAAGAAGTAGTCACTGGACTAAAATATATGAGCTTACAATGTACAGGTGATCTCATGTTCAGCAGCCCGTGTTCACTTACACATGCTGAGCTTATTTGCAAACGAAATGATAAATTTACAATTTACAAATACAGCAGGAAAATCATAATGATAACAAACTTTTCACTTACTTCATCCATGTTGCAGTTTCGAGTATTTTAATTAACAAAGTTGTTTTTTCTAATGAAAACGCCTTCAAACCATGTTTTGTCTAACCGACCATTCACATTGCAAACTGTTTTCTGTTATCTCAGATTTCATCTCTGCATACAAAAGAACAGGAAACTTTATGCGTGGAATTTGATCTCTGCCCTCATTACCGTGATTAATTTTGAAATGCGACACAAGAAGTTTGATCAGTTATTAATCATTTTTGGCCATTAAGACACAGTGCATCATCATGCAATGTGTCATGTAAATAAGCTTAATGTAACGGTTGGAATACACTGTCAACATTCTGTTAATTGATTCATGAAAACGAGACCGTACATGTATATTGATGCAGCATGTAGATCGAAATAAATTTATAGAATTTCATAGACCCTATCACAGTTTTCAATGCCATCTTGACGGGTAGGCAAAATGGTCAGAAATGACAGTGTTTGTATGGGAATCCGATGGCAAATAACTTTTTCCAAAATTGAATTTTACACAATTTGTGAATCATAATGTTAAAATACTGGGTAGAGGATTGTATATTCACCAAGTTTGAAGGATACAGCTTGACTAGATGACAATCAATTGATTTTTACATGAGGGGCACCTGGGGATTTGTGGTGTTGCTGTGTTGATGTTTTTTTAATGGCTGATGCAGTGAATAAAATCTCAACTTGCCGTGTTGCGGTGATCTCAAACACTACAGTGTGCGATGTTTGTGTTTTTCACGCTGTGGTGTTTGGTGAAATGAAATTGTCTGTGGTGCTGGGGTTAGCATGCAAACTTCGTTAATCCGTACTATTTTATGACAAACACATATCATTGGGGTTAATAATTTGTAACAAAATACAGACCATCACTTTCTAGTCAATTTTCAATATGCTTCGGCTGCCAATCCGAAGCTGTTTTCATTTATACATAACTTGACAAGATGTTGAGGCGGCAGGGAAGAAAGAGGGCTTTCTAAGCTAAGGAAGCTTTGCAAATTACACATGTTAACAATTTTTTTCCTTTTGCTATTCAGCTTCGTCTATAGGTCATTCTGACACCGGTCTATACCCGCTCCCAGGTCAAACGATTATCGATATCGAACGTAAACGCAGCTAGCTCTGGAAAGAAATAGTTTTGGTCAAGATAGGGCTTCATTCAGTGGGTGTATACACCAAGAAAAGTTAGAGAAGTAAAAGAAGAGAGGGATCTAGGGTAAAGGCCATTTCTCGAGGCTCCTCTCTTTTTTCTTTGTCCGCTTCCTAGTTTCATGCAAGGTTTGTTCACAGGAGCAAGAAAATTGATTTACAGGCATCAGCAGCATTGGTATATGCACAATGAAAAGCGTTTTGATGTGTTTATTTTGTGGAAAATTGTTGAGGTATAAAAGTGTAGACAGGATGAACTAATCATGACGGTAAAAATAGGTGTTGCAGTGACGGTGTTTTGTTGACTTTTCTTGCGGTGANGTATTCAAACAGGGGTTAGTTTCATTTAGAGACTGAGTCCTGGGCAAATTGACCGGCTGTGAGGAGGATGATTTTGCACCTGGTTTGACCATCTAGAGGAAGTTTTCCTTACATTTATGTATAATGAAGTTCGTTTCAAAACATTTAATATTTATTTTTTCCCACCTGTGAAAACCAGTTGCCTGCTTGCTGTAAACATGAGTGAAATGCCTGATTCAAATGTTTTTGTGTATGTTTACTAAATTATAATGGTCTAGGTAGTATATTTTGAAAGTAATAAAAACAATTCCTTTTTGTTGGGCACTGCAGCTTTCAGGGCCTTCCATGATCCCCACTTTCAACGTGAAGCAGGATGGAGATCTTGTGATCACAGAGCATTTAAGTGCACAGTTCAGGACTATAAAGAAGTACGTAAGTGGAGAATCATAGCAAATGTGTCGTAGGATGGAATACAACTCCTCCCCTTAACCTACAGGTGGCGGAGGGGCTTCCGATTAACTTGTAAAATAAAATTAAACTGTAGCATTTTTACGTTTTTGAGATTTAATTTGGATTCTGAAAGTTACCTGCCTGGGCGCATTTATATTGGCAGAACCTTTGTCCACCATCAGAGAAAATAATTACTGTTTCTCTTGGTTTCAGAGGTGATGTTGTCATAGTAAGATCTCCTGAGAATCCTAGAGGCCTTATTTGCAAGAGGATTGCTGCCATGGTCGGTGTACATTTTAGCACGTTCAAGAGACATAACATAAGCATTCAGTGTAAAATTATTTACCCACACTGCAGAGTCCCATGAGGGGCCAGGAGTTCTGATACAATTATTTATTGTTCCCACTGAGGCTGTGGCAAGATCTGTGTAGGATTTATTAAAAATATATAATAACTATGGGTAGTAGTAACCTGTTTTTGATGGCCCCTATTGGAGAAAAGGTTATTAATTTAGACTAACACCTTATACTACAGTAACTACTAACAGAAGTAACAGTGTTTCATTCAAGCTGAAGACTTCTGAAGTCTTCCATATTAAGATTTTATTACTAAGCAGGATCAAAAACTGTTTGCAGGATGTAATCGCATGTGGATTTCAGTACAATTGATACATGTTCCTATTGTTTTGTTTGGTGATGAGGTTAGCTGACCTAAAAGCAGTTGGCAGACCCCACTGATTTTAACTCGGTTATTTAGAATTCCCAGTTATTTTGAACTGAAAGTCATTTCCCTTAGATTTGCCCTTTAGTCACCTATTAGTATTGGCTATTTTGAAGTCCTGCTATTTCAAACTATATTTTGATTCCCATGAGAGTTCGAAATAGCAGGGTTCAACTGTAATATGCATTATAAATTTGATCTCTCTTGGAACCATTAAGAATGCTTTATTTGAACATGGCAATCAAACTAGCAGAAGTTTCATGAAGGGCTGCACCTGAGCAAATTGACTGGCTGTGATGATAATTTTGCCCACCTGGTTTAACCATCCAGATGTAGGAGAAAGGTTTTTTTTTATAACAAAGTTCAGGTCAAAAAGTTTTGCCTGTCTGTGAAAACCAGTTGCCCTCCTGCTTGAAACATGAATGACGCCCCTGCTATTTGTCTTTTTGTTCTCTTTGGTTTTAACCTGTAAGTCTATGTTTACTTTTGGCATGGATATAGAGTGGAGAGCGAATCAGAACTGGCGAGGATGGAAAGGATGATTTTAAAGTGAGTTTGCAAGTAGATGTATTATTTAAGACTGTCCAGATTCTGTATTATTCAAATTATTATTTTCTTGTGTTTTGGCACAACCCTACAAAAAGAGATCCAGGTGCTTAGTTCAATCAATCATGTTTGGTTGAAATTGAGTCAACTACAGGAGAATGATGTTGTAGAATTAGCCAATCAAAGTGTGGTTATATTGGCTACAAATGTAAGCCATATAATAATGTATAAATTATAATAATCTTTGAGCAAGGTTTCATTGAAATTATGACAGTCAAACCTCTCCTTATGGTCACTTCCACAATATTTCAACATCTCAATCTACATCTGTATACCATGGGCAGTTCACCTGCAGTAGTTCCAGTGAAACCAGAATTCATGTAATCTCTTCCTCTATAATACAGTCACCTCTATAATAAGGACACTCAGAACTTCCCCTTTGGTCTCCATATTAAAGAGGTTCAACTGTATAGAAACATGCCCTTTGAAGTATACTTTTTTGTTTATTTCATTGTTAAATTGTTTTGAGTTTATTACTGACAGCAATCATAATGAAAATTAAAATAATATCATTTTATTCTGCAAAGGAACAAATTTGTCTGAGCAAATCTAGATACACATGTATGACATTGCATATATCTTATTAACTAAGTGTGAGGGCCTTACTGGGAGAATATTAGCCTGAGGTCTTTACTGTACAGACCAAGTGCAGCAAGTTCCATACAAAAAAGAATGAGGTCTGATATTCTCCCAGTATGGTGTGGAGCATGCTTGGTTAATAAGAGATTTATTACACAACTGAAACTTCCCAAAAGTCAGTAAACTCGGGACAGTGCCTAATCTGATTCTTAGAGAATATTGGACTGGCAGTGGAGCAATCTGATTGGTTGATTTTAGTTACTGGTCCTCTGAACTTATTACTGCACCTTTCAATAACATGCGGACTCTAAAATTCAAAGCTCAACCAACAAATATGTGTTTTTCACTACCATCAATCAAATGTTCGGCGGCTCCTCCCAGCTTCCAACTATGTTGTCTGAACTGTGTTCAACGATTTGATTTGATTACCACACGCTCGGCAGTAGTCGGAAGCTAGAAGGAGCTGCCAAACATTTGATTGATGGTAGCGAAAAAAGCATTTGTCGGTTGAGCTTTGAATTTTAGATTCCGCATGTTATTGAAAGGTGCAGTAACCTACATGTAGTTGCACATAGAAAGATAATTTTTAGTTTATTTTTTTATGGTTTGTTTTCTTTCATATCCAAGATTCCAAAGGGACATGTTTGGTTGCTAGGTGACAATCCAAATTATTCAAAAGACTCCAGAGACTATGGTCCAGTTCCTTATGGACTCATTAGAGGAAGAGCTTGCTTTAAGGTTAGGTTAGCTTTGTGACTGTAATAGTGCAGACTGTGTCTTTCATTTGGACTGATTTCAACTAAAAGTTTTTGGCTTCGATATTTCCTAAAAAAATTATGGTCATTGGTGGATCCATATGCATCTCTTACGGACAACTGTATTATAATGTATTTACATATAGAATTATGCGTACAGGTAGTAGTTTGAATGACTGTCAAAATAAAATAGTAAGGCCTCAACATTTGTGGCCTTATGAAAAGCTCAAGACTGGCCATGCCTGGTGGTGATGAGAGGTTGTTTGAATTTATTATTGCTACATCCTTGGATCAAGGGCCAGTGAATCAATTGCCTGTTGTTTACTTACTACTGGCTGCAAATGACCATTACTTCAGTCCCTATAAAATTTTGAACGTCGTTGAATGTTTATAGTCTGTGATCAATGTGCTTAGCTACAAGTAGCTAGTTCTCCAGCATGCCATGTAAACTGAAAGAAAGAAACATTTCAAATAAACATAATGACTATGCTTAAGAATCTCTTGTGTGGGAGGCAGACCAGTTGGCTAAATATTAACAAGCATAACTGAGGAGTTGAACAAAGGGTCAATTAACCGAGAAACAATTCCAGCTTATTGGTCAGAGTGGGACCACTAAACCCACGACCTCCAGATTTCAAGTCCAGTGCCTAACCACTTGGCTACACTGCCTCTTACGCCTCCCATAACGTTTGCACAGTTATCATTTTGGCAGTGGCGTTAACATCAGTGTTATTTGGTTATTTTCAGGTTTGGCCCCTTGCTGAGATTGGAAAAGTCAGAAACCCATTCAGTAATAGGTGACCCTACTGACAAAATATCAACTGACTGGAGGAATGTTATAAGTGCCATGCATAATGACAAGGCTTGCGATTGATAGCAAAGGAGACATCAGAGACATTTAATAATAAATTACATGTACAAGTACAGAATGTATTTGACAAATAATAAATTTTATTATTCAATGATAATTTCAACTGCATAGGTGATAGTCATTTTTGAAGTCCTTATACATGTAGAAAGGGCAGATGGTGTGGGTTAATTTAGGGACTTAGATGTAAAAGGAATTTGAAAAACTGTTCATATAATGTGTGTTTTGTAATTAAGCCTCACTGGAATGTCTTGTGGAATTTTGATATATTATAATGTGCCAATGTATTGATCGCAGAACCTTGTGAAAAGCTAGAATTTATAACCAAAGAGTGACACTAGAGCTGCAATAATCACAGCGATCGTCAGCAATAAACTGTGAAGCGTCCAATTACTGTGAAGCTTCCAGCCATTAAAGTACTGTAAAATGGAAATCCACCAGGCTTGATTTGTCGTCTTTGTGGGTAAGTAAGATACTGTTAGCTTTTGTTTTAGAATGAGAGCTTCTGCCATCATGCTGTCCCAAATGCTATTTTGTAGCGGAGCTCCTGCGCGCCGAAGGCGCGCGAGCGGAGCCTCATACCTTAAGAAATTTGGTAACCCGTCGATCTGAAACATTTTGGTAGTCACGTGACTGTCCGTACGTAGGCCCGTACGCCAATACCTTGAAAACTAAGAGAGTAGCACCATTACCATAGCTACATCTTTGATTTTGGGCATCCACGCTATCGCTAATTGACAGCTGTCACAACAAGCTATCCGCTGACCAGTATCGTGTGACCATATCGCGGGCTCAGTTTTAGAGCTCATCGAGGTTGCGTGTGCTGACCAGTTACTGGTTTTCCGATTGGATCGCGGGCTCAAGTCAGGTTATTTCTCTGGGGGTGAAGGAGGGAGTACTCGAAAAGGCAAAATTTCGGTGCAAATTAACCCCTGGCTCGTTGTTGACTTTACTTCTGACATATTCCTTGCACAATCGTCTCTTGGAAAGTCCCTGATATATTAGCTTGTATTGCGTACGTAATTTCTACAATCTTGGTTAGACTTATTGGGTTCAGTTTGTTAAAATATAACTGGAAAAAATAGCAAAATCACGCGGCTTTTAGGCTTGGCTAAATCTATATATTACGACTATTTTGCATATTATATCGTCAAGGAAAGCAATTGCACCAGTCACTCCGTTATCGTAAACCTTTTTGCCGCTGACCATTTTTGTGGGTTAATCTGCTGACCAGTAGACCGCCAATTTTGCGGTCGCTTAAGCTTTCGTTTTCATCGATAAATATAACGTTTAGACTTTTCCTCACGTCACTTCTCCGTAAACATTAAAATTATCATGGTGGGAGAGTTCTTTTATCGGAGCATTTTCTCACTTGTTCGCTGGTTCAATCTACGTTACTGAAACGGTCAACACCTCCTATTTTTGACTTGTTCTGTCTTTCACATTATTTTTGACAATTTTTAACATGCAGTTTTCATATGTGCACTTCAAACACTGAGAATTTGAATTTTGAAACAAAATTCTTTCCGATAGTAACCCTCGGCGAAAATAAACCCACGCAAAACCATTTGAACAAAGTCATGAGCCCAACAGCATAAACTTTTGGGTATTACGGAAATTGTCGTGAAGAGAAGGTTTTGGACAAAAGAGCCAGGTCGGCCAACCTGGCTTGTCTTAACCCTTTGAATACCAAACTTTTGCCAAAAAATACCGTTTTTAACCGTTTAGTCAGGTTTTTTAGCTGCCATGACGCTAAATAAGCCTAA